ATACTACATCCACCATCTAGCGATATGTACCAAACATTAAAAAAGCGTATTCTAGAGCAATTTTCGGATTCGGAACAAAAACGAATCAAGAACTTGTTGCAAGACCTTGAACTAGGTGACTTGAGGCCGTCACATTTGCTACGTGAAATGCGTCTGCTGCCAGGTACTGAAATAAACGACAGCATGCTGAGATCGATTTGGCTTAGCAGATTGCCACAGAACGTGCGCTCCATCATATCTATTAGTAACGAGCCGCTTGACAAGGTTGCTTTGTTGGCAGATAAAATTATTGAGGTTAGCGACAGCCCGCAGATACACGCGGTAGCAGCACGAAGCGACGACGGGCAGTCTGAAATTTTTCGGAAGATGGCGGCGCTAACAAAAGAGGTAGCCGAACTGAAAGCTAAGCTTCAACAGCGTGGTAGGCAAACACGTCGGTCGGCCTCCCGAGGACGCTCATGTACACCCAACAAAGGCGACAGCATTTGATGGTACCATAAAAAATTCGGCGAAAAAGCAACCAAATGCCGATCCCCCTGCTCACATTCTTTAAACTAAAACCCCTGGCACAAACGCGGTACGTGACAGGGTCTCTTCTAAAAACCGTTGTCTTTTGATAGTCGACCGAGATAGCAAGATGCAATTTTTAGTAGACACGGGGGCAGAGGTTAGCGTCATACCTCCAACAGCGGAACTGCGCAGACATCCAAATCCGAAAGTATTCCTGTATGCTGCCAATAAGACGACCATAAAAATTTACGGAGATCGCATAATGTATTTAAACCTTGGTTTGAGAAGAAAATTCCAATGGAAGTTTATCGTAGCTGACGTTTCGCAGCCCATTGTAGGAGCAGACTTCCTGGCACACTTTCAACTTCTGGTCGACTTGCATCAGCGCAAACTTGTTGATAGCTCAACGAACGTATCGCAAAGTGGCAGCGTCAAAACGATAGACGCGTATACTGGCGGGTTATCCTTTATCGACAGTGATATGCCTTTTCAGGACCTACTGCGAGAGTTTAAGGACCTTGCGCTGACAAACGTAACACCAAAAAATATAACACTCGACGTCACGCATCACATAATAACTAAAGGACCACCGATTTTTTCTAAGCCCAGGCGTTTGGCACCCGACAAACTGAAGGCAGCGAAGGCGGAAATTCAAACACTTCTAGACGCTGGTATTTGCCGCCCGTCGCGGAGCCCGTGGGCAAGCCCGCTACATATGATGCGAAAAAAAAATGGCGAATGGAGGCCGTGCGGAGATTTTAGGCGATTGAACAGCGTTACGGAACCCGATCGGTACCCGATACCGCATCTTCACGATTTCACACATAACTTGCACGGTTGCACTGTTTTTTCAACTATAGACTTGCTTCGCGCATACCATCAACTACCAGTAGAGCCGGCTGACATACCAAAAACAGCAATAACGACGCCGTTTGGTATGTTTGAATTTGTTTTT